AATCAGTCAGGCTATTTTTATAACTAACACCCTTTAGAAGGACTCTCCCCGAACGAAAACCCCACCTCCCATGTACGCCAGCCACAACAGTGTGAATTCCTCAGGGAGGTGCCAGTCTCATCCTCTTGTAGTTTCCACGCTCCATCGGCAAGCTAAGAAAATGCTTATCTCCCTGAGCTTGGCCTTCATAATTCCATTCCATCACAGAAATCAAGAAAAACCAGAGAACCAAACTTGGTTTATTTAACTTCTTTAGAAATTACATTTGGAAGATGGAACCTTTATAATAGAATTCTGCTTAACCTGTTCTTCTGCATCAAGCTAACACAGATACATCTTCCATTATGAAATTGTAACATTTTTTAAATTCATATTAAATCCTATCAGAAAGCATTTATGCCTTTTCCTTAATTTTTTCATCAGGAATGTGTTATATCTTGGAAATACAACAGATACATAAATCTGTGCTTCCTTTAGTGAAATTAAAATTATGAAATGCAACAATTGTACATGTTGACACTAGCAAGGCGAGCATCTCTAGTGAAATCTCTTAAAATGTTGGGAAACAAATGATGCTGTCCTGCCTTCCGCAGTTCTATTTTTCTTGAAACTATACATGATAAGAATCTTTTTTGTGTTATTAAGAGGTGCTGAATTTACCCATTCTGTTCTCCTCTAAGCAGTCATTCTTATTACTATGTTCACTATGTGCCTTTTAGAAATTGCTGAGTAAATACATTTACATTTAATCATATTAATAGATCAAAGGAAATGTGCAAGCCCCTTACAATCAGTTAATTGCTACAACAATAATTTGAGGCTGTCTGCCGGGCTGTTCTTCCAAAATCAAATATGTATTTTCCCCCAAAATTGTTCGTTGTTACTTAGCAATTCTATCTGGCAAGACTTTAGGTCTGTCTCATCATCTAATGCACAGGCTCACGCTTGTCTTTGCCAGGAACTACAACTTGCCATTTCAAAGGCTATATAGACTTTCTAGCATCTTCATTCACATCAATAATGCATTTAGCTTCCTTTACAGAAGGATCCTGCCTGGGATTATAAAGCAGGGGGAAAGAAGAGATGGAGGATAAATGCAGACGAAACAGTGCATATGGTTACTACTTCTGAGCAAACGTTAGGCTATTTTTGAAATCACTCCATCTACTCTTTCAGAACTGTTCTAGTTGTATTAATCAGGAAAGTTTAAGGGATGAATTCTTTCCTTACCCGCTGTCTCCTCCTTCCACATTGGACAATTTTTAAATGTCTTTGTTCTTTTTTATGGGGTTGATACTATGCATGGGACTTCATCCATCCACTTGATGCACTAAACTAATCAAGCAGTGTTTCTGTATTCACGTTAGTTAATGCATTGCACTGTCTGCTTTATAGCAGTTTCGAAATGTATTGTATTGATACCAAAATGGGAAGCCCTCCAAGTTTCTTTCAGCTCACAAATTGGAGTTTAATAAAAACAAATTTGTTAAGGCAGCCATAATTTGCAGTATGACCAAAATAGTAGTATCCTGTTTCTCATTCGTCTATAGAAATCGAATAGTCTGGGGGTAGGACTTTCCTTCAACTTTGGTAACAGGTTATTTATCATCATCATATCTGAGACAGCAGATTGATTTAGGAAGACCACAGTAACGTGTACCTTTTACCTTCCAGCAAAGGGGAATCCAGAAAGTTTGTGAAAATACCTCTCTTCCATTATAGCATCTAAGATCCCTCACTCTGCCTCTTTGCAAGAAACCTGGGATGTGATAGAATCTGATAACTGATGAGTAGCTATGTCACGTTTTTTAAAAAAAACAGCCATCTTAAAATGTAACATCTGCCTAGATGGAGATATGAAAGGTCGTTGTTGGATTTTGGTTACAGGGAAATGTGTGCCCAGCATACACAATTCAGCAGATTTAACAAAATTTAGAGTGGGCCGATAGAAGCATGTCTAGGGAGTTTCAGTAAAGTTGTTATTCTGAAACAAAGTTGCACTGCCTGTGTGCCTGCTTGCTTCAGGAATGTTCAACTTGCACATTTGTAAATAACCAGATTGCTAATAGATCACTGTATAGGCCCTTTTGTGTTCTGTACTATCAAATGGATGGTTAACAATATCTTGAATTTTTTAACAAACACATTTCACGTTGTTCCTTTATCAACTGATAAGAATTCCAAATGTATCCAGACTCTAATTTTTATATTGTTCCCGGAAGCTTCCAAAAACTCCCTTTTTCCTAAAGGAAAAAAAAAATGTTTCCTACAAAGAAAGCAAGAAAGACATCATATTTGAAAATAGTTAACCCATGTAAGAAATAGCATTTTCAAAATCATACCTACATTAACCTTTGATCAATGTACCTCATTTTAAATAAGTATATAAATATAGATAATAAAAATGTTAACTGCAGAAGATACAAGACAGTGGTTTATTTGTACTTTACTTTTCGGAAGAGACCCATGATGAACACAGCTGTCTAACCTACTGCAGACATAGTTCTTCAAATCAATCTTTATTACAGTCATAGAACTGCATAAGAGAATGGGGTACAATCACTGAAAAGAGGCACACAGTATAATAGATAAAAGGCATAAAAGTTTATTTATAAAGGCCACATTAAAAACTATAAGAAACATTATTATAAAAGATATACAAAGTAAGAATCTATCAGAAGTAATGGGACATTGAAAAAAATGTAGGGACGCATGAAAAGTTCTATGTATATAGAATACGAGAGACTTATATCTATTAGATTACACAATGCTGTAATATAGCATGATAGGTGCACGTTGAGCAATTTACAATGCTGAGTCTCAAGCACCAGCCAAAAGTCATCACGGCAGACTTTGAGCACTGCTGCACAGATCCTAGCAACACTGTGTTATAGCAGTGCTGATATCTGAAAGCAACAGGATGGCATAACATTGTCCTATATTCACTAGATATGCATGTAATAGTGGTAGAATGAGGCTAGTATGAATAGAGTCACAAGGGCAAGGCAGTTCCAGGTAGGGAATCCTCCAGTATCAACCCTCAAGAATTGCTGAGGGGAAGGCATAACATCATGCCAGAGTGAAGCCCTTTCTGTGCCCAGGGACTTCCAGTTCGGATATGTTTCGTGCTTGGTCCCAGATGC